TTGTCTTTTGAGGCTTCCTACACTCTTCTCTTTAAGAGAAGTGTAGGATTTAATCCTGGAAGCACCATAGTAAAGATAGCTATGGTCTGAAAAAACACTTAAATGAGCACTTCAAAGAACTGACTTAAGCACAATCTGGTAACATTAAACTATCCACAGATGGAAATTATTATGTACCTTGCACCTCCTGCTCAGGCATCAATGCCAGCAAACAGTGGTTTGAATGCTCTGCCTGTAACCTGCTTTAGTTTGCAAAGTAACAAGAAACAATTACTGGCTTTCAGGAATAGCTATGTGACTGCATTAACTTCTCAGACAGAGTCAGGGATTTCCCAGAACAAAAGCACTTTGTTGGCAAAGTAGCTGCTAGTGACTGCAGGCAAATTAGGGCTTATGTTGAATGAAGCCTTTTTTCTGCATCTCGCAGACACATTTTTTCAGCAATATTAGGTTTACTTTCATCTTTCATAGTGTGGTTCATAATTTTAAGTATAATAATTTTAAGTAATGAATAATTTTAATATAAGTATCTTGCACTACTAGCATGGCCACACTATATGCAAGACTCAGCAGCTCAGTTGTGCCTACTGCATAAATAGGTACGTCATGATACAATAGTGGCATAGCTAGGATATAATAGAAGATAAAACACTTCAAGAAATCATCATATAATTCTGGTTCACCCTATCAAGTATGAATATTACCCTTTTTTTTCATTGTCTGTGTAAATGTGTCCCATCTAACTAGCATTATCACCACAGCATCCTACACAAACCAGGGATAATCAGTAGCTGTTTTTGCATAATGAAGAGCCACTAGTTTCAAAAATAATTTAAAAAGAAAAAGACTTGTAATGGACAGATAAAGCATTAGGATTTTATCACGGCAGAAAATTAAAGTTATGTGTTAAAAGGGAAAGAAAATAGATTGCTTTGAAGGCTTATTGAAGGCCTACTCAGAATACAAACATAAGGTTCTTTTACCATTTCAGAAGACCCAATGCCAACAGGAAGGATATTTCAGAGAGGCAGGGAAAATAAAATGTGTTTTTTTTTTTTTTTTTTAAGATACGTGCAAACGTTCGTGTTAGTACTCGCAAACTATGAACAGAGCTTTGAGTGTATGTTTACTTAGGCATAGCATTCTAAAGAATTCTTACCGCCACAGCAGCAGAGCATCTCAGCTGAAGCTGTGGAGACTTATGTAAAGGACTGGAAGCCAGTGACGTGACATCTAGAAGAAGTGGGTTCTAGATCCTTTTTGACTCTTTGGGGCTTAGAGCACTTAGTGTATTCAACAGCTAGATCTACACCTAGATTCAAAGCAACTGGTGACGTGCCAGCAGGGGAGAAAGGGAAGGTCTGTAATAGTTCAGAGCTATCCCATGATTCGAATGTCTGTCTTATGAATATAATAGAAAATCTAAGTACACTTGGTAATTATTTGAGGACAAGCATCTCTTCTCTTCCAAGCTGAAAAATCAAATACCAATAAAACTTTTCAGGAAAAGCTGCATTTACCACACACACACACTCACCACACGACACATACAGAACTGCAGGAAAAGTTTGAGTTGTTTACCATCTTCTTGCTAACTTCTTGGATTAGCTGAAAAGTTAATATAATATCTAATACTTTCTCACATATATACCTTTTAACTCAAAATAATTATTTCAGTCACCTTTTATATATAGCTCAAAGAGGATACTACCTTCATCCTAGTATCCCTTATATATATATAAAAAAAACAGAAATACATTTTTCTCTTTAAGATAGATTTGTTACTTTTTATAGTTATAACTTGGCTATACACTATTTTTTTTTGCTTTGAATGAATTACAGAATCCTTGACTGATTTTATTGAATTCAACTGTATTTTTAAAAATAACTACTCACTGCATTATGACATAAATTTATCGCTAGAGAGTGCTGAAAGGTCAGAACTTGTTCAACAACAGAAAATGTTTATATTCTGTCGTACTTCAGTAAATTCCCAGTGTTCTGAAAGTGAAATTGAAATTCTCCATTTTATTGGTGTGTAAGCACCAATAAAAAAGGACAACGGTCAGAGCAATGATACCTACCATGCCTAAGAAATTAAAGTGCCACTTCTGTATCAACACATTTTTAATTTAAGCGACTTCAGCTAATTTTTCTGTTTAATGTAGGCAGAATTATGACCTTCATTTTGAAATCTGGACTTTATTTGGAGTTATACACCAGATATACTCTTTCTAAAGGAAAAATAAACCACATGCCCTTGAGTTCTGAAGGTCATAAAATACGAATCCAAATAAATTCCTGCTTTTTTTTCACATTGAAGCTAAATGAGAATCAACGGAACAGGATGTTCTTCACAATACGATGGACAGTAAATTTAGTACATACCTCATAGCCAGGACTGAGAGGAGACTGAGACAGGAAGTTGGAAAGAAGAAAAAGAACAAAGAAATAAGAAAAAAAAAAGACAGAAAATAATGTTACTTTAGGAGCAAGCATGAATGAGCTATTATTTCATAAATTCATTCTATGTTACAGAATGTAAAAGAACTGCATTTGAGCTACGAAAGGTAGAAATTTGGATTACCTGGCATGCACCTAGTATTTCATACCTTTAGCATTTTTCTTGGATGAATTCTATACTACTAACAGTTAAGAAGGGGAAAAATATATTTTTTTCTTTGGGTCTTAAAGGTTTTATAGCTGCCTTTAACACAGCCTCCAGTCAATTTTCAGCTCAAATGAAATACTTTATTGACTAATGCAGACATATTTATACCTAACTGAAGCTATGTCTGTATGTGGCAGTTCCCTGTGAAAGGACAACTAAAGTACCATTTTCAGGATTCCACATTGCCCTCTCTCAAATGCTGCGAGTTCAAAGTAGAAAGATACTCTCTTTTTCCAGCAGCCAGACATGCAGGCCAAATTTAACACTGCAAGCAAAAGGTAGCTTCTTTCTGGTTCACACAAGGTCAACAATAACGACCACAAAACCATAACTCTGTTAACAATGCCAGCTATGAAAAGTCTGCAGGAATTCATTATTTCTCAAATGCTCTGACTCTACAGAGTAAATAGAGCTAAAAACAACATTGTGTTAGTCATATTTGAATAAGTGGTAGATCTTCGATTTAATTCGGTGACCCCACACAGCAGTTATGCTCTGTTATCAGTGACTCAGGAAAGTGCCATGCCAATAAAAACAATAACAATGAGTGATGCAGTTTGGTGGACAAGGATGATGTCTCTCAGTGTATTCACACAGGCGCTAGAAGACTGAAACACATTCCAAAGTGCATGCTCTGATTGATAGCACAGTATGAACTGCAATAAAACTTAGCCTGGGAGCACTGCAGAAGAATGGAGTCCAAAGGACAGATTTGATATATGAGACCTGACAAAGCATACACACACTTAAAAAGAAAAAAGGAGGAGAAAAAAAAAGAAAAAAAAGAAAACTAGTCAATGCAAGAAGACAAACAAACAAAATAAAAAGAAAACAGGTACAAGCCATATCTGAGATCACTTCTGAAAAATTGGTAAATGATATCAGGATTTCCAGAAAGAAAGGTGAAATCTGAAAGCTATCTGTTTAACTTTTCAAGGCTTAAGCCTGGGGCTTTCTGTAAACAAAGTTGCTTTCTCTGCGAGCATGCGCATGTGCACTACTGCGTGTGCGTGCGCAGGCGCACATGCCTGAGACTCTCTGTCATCAGCTCGGGTACAGTGACGGTTCTGACTTCTTAGAGAAGCACTGTCTGCAGTATGTATGAAGCTTACTATATTTCTTCCATGGTAATTTCGATGGTAAACTTGCAATGGTAATTTTATTAAATGTAAAAGCCACCTCAAAATATGTCCCTTTGCAAAACATGTATTTAATATAAAGAATATATAAGCTATCAGTAGATTTCTAAAGTTAAAAAGGTTTTCATACTCAGATTTTTTTGTTATCTTGAAACTGTACAGGATGCTGTGCCCATTTAATACAGAGTATGTTAAGGCTCTCTCATGTGGTACTTTTAACCACAATGTCAGAAACAATTCTGAACGACAGCCAGGCCTCCTCATAATTTTGTTTTGTATTGGCCTGGTTTTGTATCCGTCTTTGCAAAATAAGCTTCTGTGAATTATGAATAATCTCTGAAGATTTACTGCTATGCTTTTTGCACAACTTAAGCACTCCTTTTATGCAGCTTTTCAATTAAAAATACAGATTCATAATGTTAACCTTAATTTCCAAGTAGCTTTAGGTTAATGATAATCAGCAGCATAAGTACATAATTATGGTTCATAGATGGTACTGCATGTAACACCAGGTCTGCATCATTTGCAGTACTGTCCTTTTAGTATGTCAAGTTTAATAAGTGTAATATTCTAATTGAGAGGAAAACAGGATAATTATTGTGTACGGTTATAAAATTTTTCCTCTCTTCTGTACCTTGAAGTTTTCAAAAATTTCACTTAGGGGTGTATTCATTTCCGTACACACAGCATAAATTCTTAACTATTCAAGTATATTATCACCACGAAGAACAAATATTTCAAAGATTAGAAGATTAAAAAGCCCATATCTAACTTATTCCAGTTAATAAGCAGTGTTCTCAGATTGTTTTCAGGATGGAAAACTGCATAGGCTACCTAAGAGTACATACAAGTATATGATATATGCACAGATGCGTACACTCTGTATCTCTACATATGCACACATATATACAGACATACACATAACTAACATATATACAACATTTGCCACAAAGGTCAGTTAGTGGAGATTCCTCATCCTTCCTTCTGAATGCAAAGAACCCAAAACATTCTCTAAAAATACTCTAAATAAATGGACTTAAAATAATGAACCATATCATGGTTCAAAGCTTAATAATTTACATCCCAGCCTCATCTGTAGTCTGTAACAGGCAAAATCAGCTCCTATAGCATTAAATGTCATTGACTCTCAACAGCAACATCCACTGCCTTAGTAACAGAGATTTTCATACCAGAAGAGCTTCCTCTGACGTGCTAGGCGAAGGCTCTGCAGAAACTGTCCGAATGCTGCTGAGTCCTGTTAAGGAGACATTCGACAGGCGCCTTTTACGTACACCACTGCAGTTGTTAGGGATTTTAAAAGCACATCTCTTATGGTAATTTAGACCACATCCTGAAAAGAGAAATTTAAAACCATCTGATTACAGTTTACTACAGAGGAGGAAAAAAAAAAAAAAGGGGCAAAGAATATTTTTCCAGTGAACAAAAATGACACCTTTACTTTTGCTGAAATTTTCCCCTCAACTTTGTTGCTTAGCTCCCAAGTTCTACAGATTTTTAGGAAAATAATAGGAAAATAATGTTAGTACCTATATCCAGAGTTTATTCTTTGATTCTCCAAAAATCTGTGTTCTAAAATCCTAAAACAGTCCTGTGGACAGTATGGGGGTGGTAAAAGAGAAGCCTGACACTGAAAATGGACACAGTCTGGCAGGGCCAAGGGAGAAAAGAAGATCTCTAGTACAATCTCCTATTGCTATTTCAGTTTAATTAACTAAAACTGATATAAAATTAGATACAGAAAATAGTGTCAGGTAAGAGAAGCATAAATAAAGCTCAGATAGCCTGTATGTATTTTTAAGGAAAGGTTATCTTTTTTTAGACTTCAAGTTATGGAGCAATAACTCAGAGCAGTTGAATCTTTACCCAATTAGTTATTTAGTTAGTTCTTACTATTACCTATGGAAAAGTCGTGCCCAAGAAATTTAAAAGCAGAATCAGAGACAACCTACATAAATGGAAGAGTCCGGGCTCTTCCTGAGCTTGACAGTTCATCTCACTGCCACTTACCTTCACATTTGAGGCCTTGCCGCACCAGTCCCCACAGCATTTCTCCACAGTGGTCACAAAAAGCTGGTGCCCGGTAAGAATGAACAAAAAGAGCATGTGGCCGGATTTGAAAGTCTTCAAACGTAGCAGAAGCTGCAACAACAAGACCATTCCAAAGTGAAGAAAATCAATAATATAGGGAATAGCCTTCATTTTTGTGTTATGTGATCACAAAACTAAACAAAACACCCTATGCTAATTATTATTACAACTTTCTTCTTTATTCAAGTAGAATACGCTGTAAAAAGACACAATGAACTTTAAACTGTGTATATGTTGCATTACATATTAAACATAAAACACTGCAAGACCATTAGAAAAAAGTAAGCTGCCTTTAAAAACTTGCAGCACACTTGCATAATTTTCTTTTAAATAAATTCAAAACAAAGCTACTAATCTCCTGATGCCTTATGAATGATGTACTCTGTCCTGACCAGCTGATGTCTTTGCTCATAATTCATGCATAAGTTTGTCATTTACATCACATGCTATTAATCAGATAGCGTCTGAAACGTATTCAAAGACAGCATCCCTCTCGGACTGGCACTGTGCACAAATGTACACAGACACAAACACAGAAACTGTCTGGCCCTAGAGAAGTGCCAGAGAAGACCATGGCACGAGCTGCCTCTGTATACAGACACTTCCTAAAGTCTTCTTAAAACACTAACAACTGTGTGAAAAGAAGGCCTGTTATTACACACCAGACATTTGTGATATGTGCTTGCAACTATTGAAACAGTTGCAAGAGCTATCTCTTCCAAGCTACTTTGGCACTGCTGTAAACTATAAAATAAATGTTATTTGATGAATAGCACTCCTCCGGTGCTTGTCCTGCCACTGGATGAGATCAAATTCTGGATGAAAATCATAGTGGATCTAAACCAAATGAGGGACTGGAGATGGGCAAAGAAAGCATTTTCAAGAGTTTACAGCCATACTGTAATCTGTGTGTATGGAAACTATACACAAACATTTACACTGCTCAGTCCATAGCTTAGGAGCCTGGATTCTCCATATGGTCTCATACAGAGGCAACTAAAAAGGTTGTTTTCTGTCATCGCCTGTTCTCTAGAGATTACCAAGTATCATTTTGGGGGCAATTGTTCACATCTTCCTCTCCTCTCCCCTGGTCTATACTGCGATATATCTAGACATGTCTGAAGGATTCGGGGAAATTTAGCCATACTGCATGCTACAACAGATCTCTTTAGCAATACAGGCTGCTATGAACACACCGCCAAGCTTTCTACTCCATAGCCATTTCTTTCAGAGTTACAAATTAAGTTCAGAGCCCAGCATTTCCATTGAAGATTTCTGATTCCAGCCTGTTCTCAGAACATGCACCTTTAAGCTATAGGAAGGACTGCATTCAACAGTGCAGTGTCCTCTACATCTATATGCAACAAAATTATCTATAAGACGTGGCTGTGGATCTAGGAGACAACTTTCTTAAGGACAAGCAGCAAAACTGGAACAAGCTGCCCCATTAGCATCCAACACAACTGCAAGGTGCAGTGCTTTGTTCTTGCCTCTCTGGTTTAAATTTGCACATAGCAAACATAGAAACAAAATAAAATCATACTAAAACAAGATGCTCAGCATGTGTTTCCCCTCAAGGGAGAAGAAAAGAAAATATTAGAAAACTCTCAGATACTACAGCCAGGAATTTTTATAGCAGATACTGCTATTTTATTAAAAAAAAAAAAGAAAAAAAAAAACAAGCTTGCTCCTCAAAAATCCACTTCTGAGGTTGTTTTTGTAGTATACAAATAATCAAAGCAAGTCTTAAAAGAGCTATATGGTAAAACACATACAACCTAGCAAAAGATTTAAACAGGCATTTCTTTCCTATTTTCTCAAAGACTTACCTCTACATGTATTTTGAATTCTTTTTACAAAAAAAAAAGAATGTTTACTCCATTTGAAAACTGGTGAGTTTTGTATGGATATACTGGGTAATTTCAAATAGAGGAGACAGTGCAATAAAAAAACTGAACTTAAAAACAGCATTAACTTTAACTTAATTTAGATAATGGATTTACAATAACTTAATATATCTTTATATTAAGGATCATTAAAAAAAAAAAAGGTAAGTATCAGTATCTTTGTGGAAACAAATCTGAAGTGGTTTTGCATCATAAGCATTTTTGCCTTATGGATTTGAGCCTTTGGCTCTCTTCCTGCGTCCTAAATTCAATTTCATCTGAAGCTGGGAGGTGTTTTGTTGTTGAGCACGCTCTCAGCCCAGCTTTTGTTGCACTGTTCCTCTTCCCTCCTCCCCCTCACCCCAAATGGCAGAGGAATAATTGACATCTTTTCCATTAATGCTGTCATTGAACCATCTGGTTGCCCTGCAAGTTATTTAATGGGTTATCGTGATTCATGCTCCCGTAAGAGCAATTGTTTCTACTACATAAGGTAAAACAATGCATTAGAAATCACTTATTAAATCTTGTCTTTAATTTGCATTACAAACAAATAGGATATTAAATAAATACCATGATTTTAGCAGTAATAGCATTAATGAAGTTATAAGGAGGCTAAAATCGAACTACCTGAAACAGTGAATTTGAAGTTCTTGCAGCAGGGATTATATGCATACACGTGCAGTTGGACAGATTTTACTTTTTCCATTGAAATGTCTTACAATGTATGAGTGTATATATACATATGTGTGTGTATATATACATAATAGAAATTATATGCGCATAGAAATTATGACTTTCTAAAAGCAAGACAAACACAGCATTAAAAACACTTGTCTTGTTTCTTTAAATCTTATTTGCTCTGCTTTGAGATAAGGAAAATTTGTATCTAATGAATCTTCTACACATTTACATGAATAGTTCAGCACTCTAAATTTTCCCTGCAGGAGAATCCTTCATTTTCAATGATTTTTTTTTCTTTTTTATGATTGCTTTGTCCCCAGTTGACAAACAGCTTAAATTATGAATGCTAACAGGTGTAAGGTAATTATGTGTACGTGGAAGGGAGTGAATATCTAAACTGAACTTGTGAACTGCTCAAGCAGAAGCCTGCTGCTTGCTTGCAAAACCGGTACGGGCTGCTGTGAGCTTTGCTCACACCCAGCCAAACAGAAGTGGCACCTCCTGAGTCATCCAAGGGCAGAGACGCAACCACCCACCAGCACCTTCGGAGGCTGGTCAGGCGTTGCACTTCAGCACAACGACTGCCTAAGAGGAGGAGTCTGGGGATTTGGAGGAAAGCAGGGAGGGCCAAACCTAAGGGCTCCCCAGGGGTCTCGAAAAGAGGAAGGTGTCTGGAGAGCAGGTGGTGGAGCCCCTGCGTGGAGGAGAGAGCCGGGAGGTGGGAGCTCCTGGAGATGGGGAGCAGCTGGGCAGGCGTCAGATCATCAACCAGGGAAAAGCACTAAGCCTGCTAGCTCGTAAATAAACTCTCATGTGCCCATCCACTACGGGTTGTTGATACCATCTTACCTACAATGTGGGATTTAAGCTTTAAGCTGAGTTTTAACTCAGAAGCTGGAAAACATTTTGGAATCCTTTGCCCAATGTTATCTTAGGTTTAATTAATGGGGAGTTTTAATAAGAGATTAATATTTAGGAGTCAATGTGCTTGATTCATCTTTACCTTCTGTACTTCTAAAATTCATTTTTAATATGCTTCTACTAATCTAAGAATGATTAGACAAGTTTAAATCCCCTAAGTGTAGAGCACAGTACATTCATTTCATTCATCTGAAATCTTTGCACAGCTTCATTACCAATTTACCTGTTTTTCACCCTGGGGAAAATTCAGCAATATGTTAGTTCATGCGTTCAGGTTTGGTTAATCATAAAATTACACTTTAGAGATAATAATTTAGCATGGGAAAACAAAATGAAATAACGCTCAAGTTTACTGAAGCCACTTAAGCAGTGTTCAAAATCAACCCAGACTATAAAGAATAAGTGTAAGATAAAATAAAGAATCCAGCCTTTCTCCTTTTCTGTGTTCATATTGATCTAAATTAATATCATGAAGTAAACACCACAGGTCTTCCTACACCTTTTTTCTTCTGTTTTGTAACTCAGAGGTTTTCTCCAAGGCTTCTTAAAAATCAGATGATAGACAACCTGCTCGCAGCCAGAAATATGCATCTCAGAAAGATGATGTTCCCCAGGAGAATTAATAGCAAGTGTATAACTCCCGCAAATTTGTTCCATAAAAAGTAGAGAAAACAGTTGTTACATGGTGGATAATGCTGATGGATAAGAGTAGAAATATCATGGAATAAAAAGTAAAATCTTCTACCAGAAATGCTAATAAAGCCCTATATACAATAAATAGTCTCTTTAGTACCCTTTAATGTAAATGATTTTTAACTGTTTTGACCTGTTTCAAAATAAGAATTCATAAGCATATTTTATATACATATATACATACACACATGCACACACTTTTCTACATGATATTAAAAGAGGTATTCCACAGTTCATTTGAAAAAAAAAAAAAAAAAACACATAAGCAAATACCTAACAGTCCTAATTTGAGAACATGTTTTAATGGCTGCCTGGATAATACCTCTTACATATACATAATCTTCCTGCTGGTCTCAAATCTTTGATGCTGGACCATCACAGACAAGGAAAAGAAGCAAAACTGCATATAACCACTGTGTATTTTAAGACCCAGTTTAATCTGTTCTAAAATAAGATTAGAAAATGGAGAACAGAACCCAACATTGCAAAGTAAAATGACAATTTGCACATGAATAGCATAAGATGGCATAAACTGAAACAAATAAATGAATTATTGCTATAAAATTTTTATTTTTTAAACATAATACAGCAATAAAGATTGATATAACAGAGAAATCACCAGTGTTTGACCAAGTAGATCTGAAGGTGGAAAAAAACACAAGCAAAATGTTAAATGTTACGACTCCACTGAACATAACAGTTGAAGTTTTGCTTAATAACCTCACCCAACATTTCACCCATGCACATGAACAAATGGGATGGAAATAATATGAAGAAATAGTGACGCCAGTAGTCCCAACTTGTCATGTTGTGTTCAGCTTCTGTCAAACCAAGTTAAAAAGAGGCACAGTAATAAAGAACAACTAG